TTTGCAACTTAAAAAAACGATGTATCTAATATATCATATTCCAATGACTTGTATATAGACTCTCCTTGCACCTGTGTTATCGTGTTGCTCTGTGGGAGGAGCCTGTGACCTCAGATTTCCATCTACACTGTAGCTACGTACAAATGACAATAAAAGCTTTGAACCTTGAAAAAGAAGACATTATTGAATCAAACTGAAAATCAGAGATAAACAAACACTTTATAACCTCATGGTAACCAGATCTGTTCAGAACTAAACCTGGAGACGTTCAGTTATCATGCTCCAAACATCTGGATCAAACTCCCAGAAACCCGCAGGTCCGCTGCAACGAAGACTACTTTCACATCCAGCAAGGAGACTTCTCTTTATGCTCTCTCACGCTGCACTGTAACCTTTATTCATGTATTTGTTATTCACCTTTTATCATCTTTACGTCTTTTTAAGTGCCATTTTATAATATGTTTCTTAATGCTCTTAAAGGTGGGGTAGGTACGTTTGGGACAGGCAAATCTATAGATGGTATCAACGTAGTCCAGCTGGGACAGGAATAATCCAGAGACCAACCTTTTACGGGATGAAATTGAAAAACAACATTTAAGTCTGAAAAGGAAGCCAAGAGTGAATTTCAATTTCTTTGTTAAAACTTCAATATGGTGTTTAAAGTTCAGATTACTGTCCAACCAAAAGCCCAGATATTTGTAGGTATCAACAAACTCAACAGAGACGCTATCAAGGGTGTCAATGGAGAGGCAAGAGGAGGACGCTGACTTGGGAGCAAAAAGCATTGCTTTGGTTTTCTTACTGTTCAATAGCAGTTGAGCACATGAGTATACAATAGTGTCATCAGCATACATATGATAGGTAGAAAATTGCATCTGATTACAAATATTGTTTACATATAATAAAAAGAGCAAGGGCCCCAAGATAGAGCCCTGTGGAACTCCCTTCTCCAAGGGGACAGGGTCAGAGACAGTACTACCCAACCTGACGCATTGAGTGCGGTCGGTTAGATAACTCTGAAACCAGCAAATGGCATTGTGACCGAAACGAGACACCAACATAACATTAGACATAATGTGGTGATCTACAGTGTCAAATGCTTTGGCTAGGTCAATAAACAATGCAACACAAACTGATTTCTTATCCAAAGCAGCCTTAATATCGTCTAAGACTTTCAGACTGGCAGTCACAGTACTGTGCTTTGATCTGAATCCAGATTGCATAGGGTTAAGGATGTTGTGTGAATTTAAAAAAAGTTTTAGCTGAGTAGAAACAAGGGACTCAAGAATCTTTGATAACACAGAAAGATTTGAGATAGGACGATAGTTATTCAACTCCGTGGGATCACCAGCTTTCAAGAGGGGCGATACCAGAGCTTGCTTCCACACAGCTGGCAGTGTGTGAGTGGACAGGGAGAGATTACAAATATCAGTTACTGGTTGTGCTATCATCTGAGCTGCAATTTAAAAAAAGAACGGGTCAAGGCCGTCAGGCCCGGCAGACTTTTTAGGATCAATCGAGTGCAAACCCTGTAAGACTTCAGAGACCGAGAAATAAGCGAAATCAAAAACAGGGGAGTTCAACTCTTGACTATGGCTGTGAGTACGACCATTTAGAGAGTCATGACTTTGCTCATCAAAAATGTGACCAGCCTTTTGAAGTGAGCATTAAAGGCATTAGACATACCATCTGAATCTGAAATAAAAGAATCACTGACCTTCAGTTTTTGTGGGAAACTAGAAACCTTCTTGTTCTGAAGTGATTTAATTGTTTTCCAGAACTTAGAATGGTCATTAAAACAATCAGTGGTTAAGCTCAGATAGTAATCAGCTTTAGCTTTTTTAATAAGGGCAGAACATTTATTTCTGAGGACACGAGAAAGAAGCCAGTCATCACTAGTGTTAGACTTTCTAGCTAAGGACCATTGCTTATTTCGATCATGAATGAGATCAGATAGTTCTCTAGTAAACCATGGAGTGTTCCTATTCTTAACTCTGAATTTTCTAAGGGGGGCATGTCTATTAATAATCGATAAAAAGTGATCAATAAAAAATTGGACGGCAACATCAACAGATGGAATTAACGCTGTGAAGTGCCATTTAACCTCCGCCAGATGGTGTAGGAAAGCCTGCTCAGAGAAGTGTTTGAAGCAGCGCCTGAGCACAATAAGGCCCTTGGCTTTGGGCAACTTGGTGCTCCTAACTCAAGCGATAGTGCAATGGTCACTGATATCATTAGGAAAAACACCAACAGACACAAACTTATGAGCTGCCTTTGTTAGAATGACATCTATAAGGGTATCGTTATTGGGTTTGGCAGGGTTTATTCTAGTGGGACTATCAATAAGCTGAGTTAAGTTCAAAGAATCACAAACCTGCTTAAACTGTGAAGATTTATCACTTAACCAGTCCCAATTTAAATCACCCAATAAAATGATTTCAGAAGAAAACTTAGACAACAATTCAGTAAGGCTAGTAGTTGCATCCATGATGGCCGATGGAGGCCTATAACAGCCAATCACAGTGAGAGGAGCATTTGCTATAGTTATTTGGACTGCTAGCAACTCAAATGGCCTTGGAATTGAAATTGAGTGAAGGATCAATATATCACAGGTCTCAGATATATCCAGAGCCTGTCTCTGATTGGCTGAAACACCAAACAGATCATTGCAGCATCCCATAATCCCCTCTGTTTCAGCCCTGTTTCCAAAGTGCTGATTCTCTGTCTGTTACTTGAGATGAAAATAAGGAGCCCCTCCCCACGCCCCTCTGAGAGAGATTTGGTTAAAAAGAACACAATAAGCGTCTTCACACCGGAGTACTTTTCCCCATACTTTTCCCCGTACTTTTCCCCGTACTTTTTCCGTTTAGTTCCGATAGTTCCTGAGATTTAAGTTCCATGAACTAAGTTCACCAAAAAGAGAACTTAGTTCAGAGAACTTTTACCCACATTTGTAGTGCCTGCTAGAGAGGTGGTACTATCCTGGGGAGAAAAAAGTTCAAATTTCTGATTGGCTGGGCGAATTGCAAGCCACGCCCCGTAAAACTCGGAAAAGTTTTGTGAAGCCGCCATTGTATTTGCTGGCATTAGCATTATTAGCATTAGCATTAGCCCCACGCACCAACGCAGAGAGACTAACTTATGGCAACACACAAAAAACATGGGAGCAGTGGAGATGAGGAGGTGTCGGCGTTCTGGCGATTTCCTCTGAAGGCTTCAGTAGAAGCTGCTGGGAGTCCCAGCAGCTTCTACTGAAGCCTTCCCCAACTCCGGGGACTTCCGGCCGGGGACTCCGGGTGGCAGTATACGCCGTGAAGTGGTTTGCGGCCTGCCAGTAAACCCAAAGCAGAAGAAGACGAAGTGACGTCAGCGGCTTCATTTGGCTAATCTTCCCTCAGGGAATTTATTCCGGTGTGAACGCGATCTGTACTAAGTTCATGGGGGAACTAAGTGCTGGGAACTAAGTGCTGGGAACTAAGTGCTGGGAACTAAGTGCTGGGAACTAAGTGCGGCAAAGTACTTGGTGTGAAAGCGGCTAATGGTGCTCTAGGAGGAGATTCAGGTGATAAGGGGGGGGGGGGGGGGTTACCTTGGTTGCTGATTGGCTAATGGGTACACAAGCCAAAACATCGTTATGACATCATGAAGTGGCCAAAATCTGATCAGCTCATTTTCAGACAGGTTTTTATAGAAATGGATCAAAAAGAGAGAGAATCTTTGTTCCTGAAACTTTCAGAGTCTCTTTCCACAGAGGGGACACATGTTGATGAAGAAGAGACATGAAGAAGAGGGGACACATGTTGATGAAGAAGAGACATGAAGAAGAGGGGACACATGTTGATGAAGAAGAGACATGAAGAAGAGGGGACACATGGTGATGTAGAAGAGACCTGAAGAAGAGGGGACACATGTTGATGAAGAAGAGACATGAAGAAGAGGGGACACATGTTGATGAAGAAGAGACATGAAGAAGAGGGGACACATGTTGATGTAGAAGAGACATGAAGAAGAGGGGACACATGTTGATGAAGAAGAGACATGAAGAAGAGGATTTTGCATAACAGGTCCTATTTAACAACCCTCTGTTACCCGTCCTTACCTCAGCAGGCTTCCCTCAGAGCTCCTCCTCCCTCTCTTCTTCTTCTCTGCAGGTGAAGGTGTTCCCTGTGGTGACGGCGTTGCGCTTCCTTTGCTCCTCGCAGACATCCTCAGGTTCTTCCCCAGCTTCCCCAGAGACTTCAGCGGGGATTTGAAATTGAACGATCCCTTCCCCGAACTTCCTCCTCTGCTTCCCTTCTTGCCCTCGTTGGCCTCGTTCTCGTCCTCCTCGTCTTCGAAGGGGTTTCGGTCTCGCTGAACGTCTCCGTCCAGCAGCGAGCCGCCGGGCGACCATCGGTCATTGTTCCCATCGTCACCTGTTAGAAAAATCTCACTGGTCACCGGCTTGAGCTTCAATCTCAGGATCCATGTATCTGTGATCCTCTCCAGAATGGAAGTAGTCATCACATACAGAGCATCAACTAGTTCCTGAACAGTGTCCTTCACATGCTGATATCCAAGAGAGGGAGTTACACAGTCACAAGATGGAGGAATAGAAAGCAGTATTCAATGTTTACTTCAGATTAGCTCCACGTCAGAAATGAGCATGCTTGTCATATGTCTCTCTCCATAGAGGCTGAATCATCATGTTAATCACATAGCTATCATATGCCTCAAACAGTCCTGATGCTCTTCTAGGTAATCATACATCCTGTCATGTTCACAGCTACAGTTGGGATACCTTTGTTATCACGTTACTCTCATGTTGGAGGAGGACATTCACTATTTTCACAACCTCACCATTGTCGAAGGGGTTGTGCTGGTGGTGGTGGGGGGTGATGTTGAGGCTCATCCTGCGCAGGATCCAAGCGTTTTCTAGAGTCGGACGGCCGCCCTTCAGGCGCAACGGGAGGTTTTTGAGGATGGGCATGATGTGGGAGGGGGGGCAGGGAGGGAGGAAC